AAAAATCAAGAAAATAAAAATGAGAAAAGGTATAGAAAATGAATGTGACGGGTGGAAAGGTTACTAAGGCTTTTTTCCTTCTACTTTTACCACATAAAAGAAAAGAAAACATGCCAAAAAGTCATGAAGCTTTGGGCAATCCGCCCATAGAGAAAGTAAAGAGAAAGTGGAAGGAAAATAAGGTAAAAAGCAAGTAACCTTGGGCAATCCACCCTTGTGAGAACAAATGGGGAACCCAAAGGCATTTTCATGGCTTTTGCCTTGAGGAGTCCACACATAACAAAGTGGGAAGAGAAAAGATGAAAGAAAGAAAGGAAAAAAGGAGGACGAAGAAAAAGGAAAAGAAAGGACCGGTTTAGTGAACCCAAGACAAAGAAGGTAAAGAGATTTTCATTTTTCTTGAAATGCATGCTTGGTAAATCAATTTTAATGTGTGATTTTGTTTGTGGTAGCAAGAATTTACAAGGATTAAAGGGACCTGAGGCATGCATGTAGGTAGATCTTGGAATGCATGGTGATTTTGGAGTTAAATAAGCAATGGGTAAGTGTTTTAGTCTTGAAATTTTAAGTAAAAAGGAAAAATGTGATGTATATTGATTGACTATGTTTGTGGTAGCAAAGGTGACCTTAGATGTGAGAAGTTGTGAATCATATTTGGAAATTCAAGCTTAAACCGAGAGGTAAGCATACAAAGTAACTATATTGTGTTGCATAAACTTAGTTGATTAAGGTGTATGGATTGTGTGATAAATGCTTGTGAGTAACATGATAAAAAAACTATGAGATTTGGTTAAGGATTATTGGTTTATATACTGTCATTTATGTGTGTAATTACATGTATTGGGTTTGAATGGTTGCTAGAGAGAAAATAAGAAAGTAAAGTTAGCTAGATATGCACTCAAATCAATAGTGACGTAGTGTCCCGCTATTTTGAGGTGAGTAAGGGGTGTATATTTTAAAATCTCCTTAATTATATATATAAATACGTGTTGATTTATTTTAAAT